AAGGCTACTTCTCAATGAATGCTACAAATGAATCCTACTTTTTATTTATAGGCAATGGAAGCTCCTGTAATATGTATAATCTTGACTATTCTAGATTTATCTACCTTTATCCTACTAATTTACAAGGCTTTCATATTGTTCTATAATATGCTTCGATCTCCTAGAGAGGCCTAGGACTTGGTTCTTCTAACGTTTTCTAGAATGCTTCATACTCTTCCAAGGATTTACGTGATGTTCTAGAATCTTCCATGGACTTCTGTTATGTTCTATAACCTTCCAATCTCTTCTAGGATGTTCTAGATCCTTCCATTGTCTTCCAAAATGTTCTAGAATCTTTCACTATCTCTGGAACATTCTATAATCTTTTGTTGTCTTCTAGTGCGCCCTAGATTTTTCCAATGTCTTCTCAAGATTTTTTGCTCGTTCCAACGTTCTCTAGACGTACCTGGAAACAACCAAAAAGTTTGTGTGTGACACTAAGATTCTAGTTGTTGTACACGAAATGGCTGAATAGATTGAAGATTTTATTAAGAGTATGACAAATCCATTAGCTTATATGTCCACATTAGTGGACTCTCGACTGGGCCGGACTATGACCCCCATGTTTGACCCGGTAGAAAGCTATCTTAAGAAGGCCTGATTCCATATTGATACTGATTATTATAATAAGCGACTAGTCAAACTCAATTGCAATATTTTTTATGAGCAATTTGTAACACCCGACTATTCAACATAAAGTATAGCCAAAAAAATTTCAACATTTTTATAACGTAACGCGGTGTACGTTTATGTTAAACAACAAGTACAAGTAGTTATCATAAATCCAAACATACAAAAATATGCCCAAGGATCAAGCTGGGTTTATAATCTTACAAAAAAAGGTATAAGCTAGATCTAATCGCGATCACTCCGTAACACCTTTTCCTTTTTCTTCCATATCCTAAATCTTGTAGCCACCATCATAAATCAAGTGTAAGCTTAAAAAGCTTAGTGAATAATAATCCTAGCTTAAAAAGCTTAGTTTGTAATAATCCCTACATGCCTTTAACAACATTTAATATTAGCAATATAATTTAACTACATCAAGAATGATTTTACATTCTCGTAACTATTCACACCAATCAATATCGACTAGATACTCAGCAAGCCACACAATTAGGTACCGACTAGACACTTAGCGGATCATACCATTACATATCGATTAGACACTCAGCAAGTCGCACAATTAGGTACCGACTAGACACTCAGCGGGTCACACCATTAGATACCGACTAGACACTCAGCATGTCGTACCTTTACATATCGACTAGACACTCAACAAGTCGCATAATTAGATACTTACTAGACACTCAGCAAGTTGCACCTTTACATATAGACTAGACACTCAACAAGCCGCACAATTAGATACAGACTAGACACTTAGCATGTCGTATCTTTACATATCGACTAAACACTCAACAAGTCACATGCTTATCATTTAATACATTCCCTTGGATTTTCGCTATCCAAGCTCAGAACCATTATCATATAAAGCATTTATAGCTAAGATACATATATCAACATATATCTAAAACTCATGTGTAATAATCTACTCTCCTTAGTAGCTATGTATGTCTAGCTACACTATTCCACTAGCTCTTGTTCTCGGTCGTTACCAAGAACCCTTCAATCAGAATCTTGCATCAAACCTTCAATAACGACAATCACATTTTTAGCAATGTACTTCTCTTTATCAAGAGACTTTAATTAAGCTCCATAAAGCTTAATAACCAATTTTTCAAATTTTATCCTTTTTGTCCCATTTTGGCAAATTACTCCAATTTCATGCATCCATGTGTTTAACACAATGTCATATAGCTAAATAATGTGTCAAGAGTGTTCAAAACGTGCACAAAGCTTCATGGGACATTTTAAGCCATTTTCCGTTTCGACCCTTTTTGAAATTTTCTCATTTAGTCATCATACTTGCCTAAATGTGATTTTTCTAGGTTCTAGAGTGAAATTTCATGAATCTTTTCATGGCAAATCTGTTTTTAAGAATAACCAATTCTTAGGATGTTAAACCCTTTTGAAATTACTCATCTTATACTTATTTTTGACAGTCACTTTCAATAAAGTTTCTAAAAATGACAAGTTGTTAAATTTATAAAGTTCATAGCACAACATATTTGTGTTTTTGATTCAATTTCAAGATTTTAATCATGCTCACATTTAGTATTAGTTGCTATTTCACTCAAACTCCAAGTTTGATCAAAACAAAAAATCAACTGTCACTATTCATCATCTTCAACCTCATGAAAATGGAAATCGATTCATGTATTGGTGTTTCTTGTGCCCTCATAAGCTTTCCATCCATGAATAATTCTAGCATGCACCAACCGATTTCAACATGAAATAAACTTCAAGCCCTAATTTACTCAATAATTTAGTTAGGGATGGAAAATAACTTTAGAAATCTGAGATAAATAAAGAAATCAGAAGTATGACTATTTTTTCCATGCTTTCCGACTTCCATAGCGTGCCTGATGTTAGAAATTGGGGTATAGTAAGGCTTGGAATTCTGAGAATTGTGTAAAACACTTTCAGATTAAAGCATTTGGGTGGTACTCCCAATATTCTTTAATCGGATAAGACTCAGAGAGACAAGAATTTAGAATGTTTTGATGATAGTTTCGTATGTACCAGAAAATGAGACCAAAACCGACTTTATGATCTTTGTCTCAAAACTGTCATATGACAGTTTCAAACTGTCATAAAACTACAAAAACTGACATAAAAACGGAAGTTTGGATAAGGGTCAACAATGGTCAATTCTTTGAAAAATCTGATTTTCTGATGCATTTTTAATATAGCAACATACCCTATATAAAAAATTTCCGTGCTGACAGCCAGGGGCTCTGCCCCTTGGACCCCGCTAGGGGCTGCCGCCCCTTGGACCCCGCTCCCAGGGGCGCTGCCCCCGAACCCCCGTTCGTTTAGCGGCTTCGCCTCTAAATGACAGTGTACTTTGAAAACTTGATCAAAATTAAACAAGTGTGTACTCCACATCTTCCTTACTTGTTTAATATTTAGCAATATCACTTTTGGTCAACAAAGTAATCCCATTACACTTAAATAATATTGATGATAACAAATCACGAACACCTGACACAAGCAACCGACGACCACGGTGGTTTGCTGCCACCATCGAACACCACCAACAACACCATCCCTGCTATCTTCCCTTCCTGTGAGCCTTGCTGCTACTGTGCTTTGCTTCTTGATCTCAGAATCGCACATATGTGGGTACGTTGAGAGAGACGGCGGTCTCTCTCTTCATCTCACACACACAAACGTAGAAAGAAATAAAAATATTGATTTTATTTGTCCTTTTCTTCTTCTTCTGATGCGCACACAGGAAGGAACCCACAAGAAAATCACGTGAATACTGGATTGCACCTGGTCATTATGCAAAAATGACCAAATTACCCTTCTCTTAATTTCCCAACAAAAGTTTATAATTTGTCTATATCTTTCCATCCTCGTAACTTTGCCATAAGAACTCTGATTTGGACAAAATTTATATCGTTGGAAAGCCTGTTAGAAGTACTACAAGTTACATATTAATTTTTTTTTTATCTGAATGCGACTAGAACCGGATTTATTCAACCGTGAACATAGAGGTTTCAACGTTTTAGCATTTTCATGTGTTTGAACAACCAACTTCAAACACTCATATCTCCTTCTCTACACCTCCATTTCGTCTGATTCTTTTTTTTGGTGTACTCTTCACTTTATAGACTAGAACATTATTTTATAAAGTTATTTCTTATCAGCTATATATATCGACTTATTAAGTTGACACCTTGCAGCTGAATTTCCAATTCATCTTTCATTAACTTTTTGTCCAACTTTGCAAGCTTGTAGATTCTTCGTATGAATTTCGTTTAAGCTTTTTTTTTTTGCTATTGCTTCATTTTCAAGTCCACTATAAGTTATCTTTGTATCTTTTTTCCTTAGCTTGCCTCTAAGGTTAGTTTCAATGGCCTCAAAGTTGGCATTTTATCATTTTTCTATGAAATTACAATTTTCATATCCCTTACCATTTTTGACCTTATACTTAATCCATTTACACCATATTGATGTAAAACTCATATAACCAGTAGTATAGTGACGTAAGTCATACCATACACACATACATTCTTTATACCATCATTTTACAAAACAAGTATTACAAGTTATAGACGTCTGGTCGCGTGCCTCGCCTTTCATCTCTTTGGAATGGCCTAAAGCGTCCCTGCGAGCGCTTTCCGCATCCAAAGTGTCTATCAGTGTCTGTCCCTACCTTGGACCTCTGTGTGAGACGATGGAGAATTGTGGTGTTTCGTGGACGAGGCGGTCATGGCGTTTAGGTATGCCTGTTGCGTTGCCTCCCCTTCCTCCTGTCTCAGGTAGTGTTCTACTTTTTCTTTTAGCTCTGCCCGTGTCTGTGGATTTTTTCCCATGAGCTTTTGAGACAACGGTCCTGGCAGGATGCCCCATTTGAAGGTGCGTGCTATTAAGCCCTCGTCATGACCTGTGACGTCTAGTGTGGCGTTGGTAAACCTGGTGAAGTATTCTCTTACTGTCTCTCATTCCTTCTGTTTGCAGCCAATGATTGAGTGCGAATCTCCTTTGTATTTACGCAACTGCATGAAATTCATCAGGAATAGGTATTTTAACTGCCCGAAGCTATAGATGCTCCCTGGTCGCAGTGTCTTGAACCACGTTCCTATGTTGCCATCTAGGGTTGTTGGGAAGTACGTACACCAGAATCGCTCATCCAACTTGATCGAGGTCATCGTCCACTCGTATGTGTCAATGTGGCTATCGGGATCTGTGGTTCCGTTGTAGGTCTTGAGATGTGGTAACTTTGTTGTGTTTGGGATTTCGTAATCCAAGAGCTCCTTGGCGAATGGAGATGTTACGCTACGCGACAGGCAGTCTTGATTTGGGATAGGAAAGGCACCCTCTGGGTTATACTACTGGGCAGTGATGTAAGGTTGCACGAGCATGTTGTTATATGTTGGAGAGTGGCCAGGGTTTGGCCCATAGAATGCTTGTTGTGAGAATGGGAAGGTTAACTTTTGGGTGGACAGTAGGGGTGAGTTTTGTGCAAGGGGGTTATTGGTCACAAGTTGTTGGTACTGTGGGATTGTGTTGGAGAAATGTATGTTTGTTGCGAACGGGGGTGTTTGGAAAGCCATTGTTTGGTTTCTCACCTTCTGATTTAGTGGTGGTATTTGGAAAACCACCAGTTGTTCGTCTGCCATCTGGTTAAGTGGTGGTGTCTGGAAAACCACCGGTTGTTCACCTGCTATCTGGTTTAGCGGTGGCGGTTGTGAGTAAGTCAGTGTGACGCTGACGTCTTCCACCATTGGCGGTGTTGTGCTACTTGATATCACCGTTAATTGGGGCGTTTGCATCGGAGTGCTTTGTGCTAATACGGTGTCGGAGGAAGTTTTCCCTCCGACGGCCGGTTGTTGTGGTTCAGTTGTTGGAGCGGTGGTTACCGTCGAGCCTCCTTTGTGTGGCGTTTCACCAACGATTACTGTGAGAATCGGGGTGGTGGTTTGTTCCAACGACATCATAGGTCTGATGGGGCTAGTTGGTGCTCCACTAGTTCCCCTGGTGTCGTCAGACGCCATTCTTTCACCGATGAAGAGTGTGCTTTTGGTTTGTTTTTCGTCGGGCTTAACTCGACGGGCGCGGCATGCCCTGGGGCATTCTCTGGCGCGTCCGGACGCGGCTTCTTCTTACGCGCTAGGGGCACGCCATATATATATATATATATATATATATATATATATATATATATATATATATATATATATATATATATATATATAAATGCAGGTTCATGCGAAAATGTATATATCTTGCGAAAATGTGAGAACCAATCAGAATTAGACACATGGATATGTTGATTAATATTTTTTTCTAATTATTTTAAGGATGTAAAAGTATAAATAAGGGCAAGATTGTAATTGTATATTTTTGATTTTATGAATCGGTTAAGTAAGGATAATGGATTTTGAATTTTGAATTAATATTGTAACTTCCTTACTCAACGTGATCGATCAAATTAGTTTTCCTTGAAGATACCAGAATTGGACAGAACCGAGAATTGAAAGACATCAGAATTGGACATTTTGTTCAAAGTTGATGTTTGCGTTTAAAGCTATATTGGATGCTAGTTCAAGTAGAAAAAAGTTTAATTCGTAAAGGAAAAGAAAGGTCTTGCGTACGGAAGTAGAAGGATACATGAATCGGATTATAAACTCTGCTGATAATCCGATTGAAATTGAAGATGATGAAGAATGTGCAGTTGAAGATTTTATACAGGGAAAAAATCGATGGTGGTAAATGCGTTTATAAATATTGATTTAGTTTTTTTTTTGAATAAATTTATGTTGTATTCTATTGTTATTTTGTTGCAGATATCAAGAATCCAATTGAGATACATTCCAGCAAATCATGTAAAATTAAGAACGATCGTGAAGAATGTTCATATGACGTTATTTCATGTGATGATGTAATTAGCAAGGCGAAAAAAATCTATGAAGGTATTCGTTTTTTTCAAGGTCGTTTTTCCAGTAAGTAATCGTCGTTTTTATTTGTAAGATCAAAGTATCGATTCATCAATATGTTGATTGATTGAATCTTCGATTCATATAATTAAACGATCATTTGTCAAATCTAATACACTCGGATGATGCAGTTCTTAAATTGACAGCGATACCCTTTATAAATAAGTGAATTGACTGCATCATCATCGTTTAATGTACTTCCTGATATTCCAATTGCATAATTATGTAACTAGCAATTAAATTTAATTTAATCATTGTTTTTTCATTTACTTTGACTTTGACCTTTTTTTTTTTTTCAGATTTGAAGAAGCCAATTGAGATTCATTCCATTAACTCTTTGAAGCTTATGAAAGATAGAGATCAAATATCTAAGTCAATGTCTAAAGTTTACAAGAAAAAAAAAGACTATATGGTAATATACATATGAAGGATATTGTTATATATTTTGGAGTTTAGTATATTATTAAGTTATTATCTATTTTTATTGTAATTGTTGCTTATGTTTTGTAGGTTCTAATGATTTTTCCAGTGATTCCGATTATGAAGAGGCGAGTATAAGAAGTTTGTAGTAAAATCTGATAAAAAGGAAAAAAAAATGATGGTAAAAATGGTAATGTGAAAGCTTTGTATGCTCGTGTTTCTCTTAATTCTATTTATGGGGCTGTGAAATCTATGAATGATATCCAAAAAATTGTGTAAGAAGAATTGGTTTTGGATCATTGCTTGATATGAAGACTCAAAGTATTCCAACAAAATTATGTTATTTTGTTGTGGATTCTTTTAATCACGAGGAGATGGTTATTAAGAGTGAAGGTGGAAATATTTCCGTAACAAGAGAAGATGTATATAGGGTTCTAGATTTGCCTTTAGGTTTTGAGCAAATTAGTTGTTTAAGTGTTCGAGGCAATGAGGATTGGTTTGAAATTTGGAAAGAACAATTTAAGAAGTCATTGTCATTAGTAGCTCCTTCTAATTTGGTGGTGAAGATAATAGAGCGAAGTGAAGCAGATATGGTTTTCATTGTGAATTTCATAATTCTGGTGTACACATGTTTAGGATCATGTAACAAACAAGGAGCTTGTAATTTCAATGTTCTTCCTTACTTGTCTCAGTCATCTAAGTTGGATCAAATAGATAGGTGTGCATATGTATTGAATTGTTTGAAGGAAGAGAAACTGGTCTGGAGCAGAAATGAAATTAAAACATTTTTTAATGGACCATGTGAATTTCTAATGGTATATGCTTTTAAATTATTTGATTTGTATATAGAATAAATAATATTCATAACATTTCAGTTTGTAATTAAAGTTGTTTTGTGTAGTTTTTATATGTTGACAGGATTCAATGTAAGCAAATGCTATTTGTGAGAAGATTTCCTGTAATTAATTTTTGGACATCAGATCCACTTAAGTTTAGAGAAAGCAAGGAATTGGACAATGGTGGTTTCGGTAATGGAGTTGATGTTGCAAATTGTAATGAAGATTTAGAAAGTGGATCGATATTAGTAAGATTGAGTTCTTGTTTGTATATTTTAGTAAATGTGTCATTAATGTTTTTTTTATATTTACAGGATTTTGAGTCAGATATTCAATGGACTATTTATGACTTGTATAAGAAAGTGGAAATGACATTGCAAAAACATGGAAATCATCATTTATTTATCATACTTTTATATTATACAATTTTTTTTTTCATTTTTTTCTAACTTCAAGGAAAAAAGGACAATGTACTTTTGTTATTCATTTTTTTATTCATTTTTGTTTTTTTTTGTCAATTTGCTATAAATTTAATAGAATACATCAAAAAATGGCAATTTGATCCATTTTGCCCCTGCATCATATTTTAATGTTGTAAAACTCTTATAACATAAATGTTTTTTTCTCATATATATATCATACTTTTATTTTATACAAATTTGAAGTTTTCTTTCATTTTTTCTAATGCCAAGGACAAAAAGTACAATGTACTTTCGTTATTCAGTTTTTATTTTATTCGGTTTTTTTTTTTTGGTTTTTTTCAGAATTTGTTTATGTTAAGGTAAAGTTACAAAACTACCATTCATTTTCTTTCATTTATGTATAAATCTCTTTAAATGCCAAAAAAAAATGTACTTTTGTAAAAGGGCGTAATCGACTTTTATTTATCATACTTTTATGTTATATAAAGTTGTATTTTTTTCACTTTTTTTTATTCATTTCTTTTTTTGGTCAATTTGCTATAAATTTAATAGAATAAATGAAAAAAGGGCAATTTGGTCCATTTTGCCCCTACATCATACTTTTATGTTGTAAAACGCATACAACATAAATGTTTTTTTCATATATTTATTGTTCTTTCGTTATTCAGTTTTTTTTTCATTTTTTTTATTTTTTTCAGAAATTATTTATGTTAAGGTAAATTTACAAAATTGCATAAATTTTTTTTTTCATATATTTATCATACTTTTATGTTATACAAAGTTGAAATATTTTCATTCTTTTCTAACTCCAATGAAAAAAAATTTAATGTAATTTTGTTATTTATTTTTTGTTTTTTTTCATTTATGTATAAATCCCTTAAAATGCAAAAAAAAAAAAGCAATGTACTTTTGTGAAAGGGCGTAATCGTTAATTTTCTATAAATTTAATAGAATACATGACAAAAGGGCAATTTGGTCCATTTTGCCCCTGCATCATACTTTTATGTTGTAAAACTCTTATAACATAAAGGTTTTTTTTCATATATTTATCATACTTTTATTTTATACAAATTTGAATTTTTTTCAATTTTTTCTAATGCCAAGGACAAAAAGTGCAATGTACTTTCGTTATTCAGTTTTTGTTTTTGTTGTTTTTTTTTTTCAGAATTTGTTTATGTTAAGGTAAATTTACAAAACTACCATTCATTTTCTTTCATTTATGTATAAATCCCTTTAAATGCCAAAAAAGTTTGTTTGTTCATATTTGTTTTAAAATATTATTCTTTCATACAATTCATATGTTTATACTATGCTTGTTCAGATCTAATAACCTTGATCGTATGAAACCGAGTACCACAATTTCATCCATGTATCTCTAATACATCACCACACACATGTTAAAGCTTTTGTTTTGTTATACAAAATTATATTTGTTTTAGAAATTGGTTTTGATAAGATAACATTATGTTTAAAACAAATAATGGCAGTTTTTTTATACTTGATTATTAAATTATGTGTTTTAATATATATATATATATATATATATATATATATATATATATATATATATATATATGCTAAGAAAAGCAATAAATAATGGATAATTTGGTCCAATAGAAAGAATAAAGTACAAAAAGGTCAATTTGGTAACAGAATAATCCAATAGTGGTAGTTATGCATGTGAATGTGTTGAAATAAATAAATAATTAACATGAAATACATTCAAATATATAATACTAAAAATATATAATTAAACAAATATCTTCAAAGATTTTCATTTAGCATAAGTCTACATAACAAAATCATAATATAAAGTTCTCTATTGATTTTTTTTCAAAGGCATAAGCAATTTGGATGGGTTGATTGGGCAGTTTCTTCTATCATGATTGACAAGTTGATTACACACAGTGCATTTACATTTTACTTTAAGTGATTTTGCAATTGCTTTTTCTGCAGAGCTTCAGATTCTATTTTTCTTACCGGAACCTTTAGTTCTTATCCGGCTAGGTGCCTCAATGTCAATTTCATTTGGGATGTGGAGACCAACAACATTTTCAACAATATCTTTTATTGGATTTGAATTTGGTTTAGTTGTAACATTTTTTCCACACTCAATGCTTAAAGTCTTCAAAGTTTGTACCAGTTCTTGTAATTTTCC